CCCGCTTGCCACAGCGGGATGGAAGTGCACGAGTTGTGGATGCGGCCGCAATGAGCAGAACTGGCAGTGGTGCAAGCATTGCCATGCAGAGCGACCTACAGGCCCAGAGCGCTCATCGACCACCTCTGCAGCGGGCTGGAGCTGGCCGACGTGGCGTTCCTCCTGGACCGAAGACAAGGAATCGACCCCACCTACACGTCCTATGCCTGTGGGTGCTCTACCAGGTCCTGGGCAGTCTGCCGTCTCCATCGTCAATGCCAGCCTCGCCAGCTTGGACAGCTCTGAGCTCGCAGCGCTGCGTGTCATCGCGGAGAAGACGGGAGACACCAACATGGTCAACAGAGTTCGTGCCCGACAGACAGCGCTGGAGGCTGCCCGCCGCACCTCAGCCTGAGGAGGCCCTGGAGCAGCAGCTTGCACGCTCCAGGGGCGAGCAGGACCGCCTTCTGCGCAAGCTGGACAAGGAGCTCAGTAAGTATGACAAGTGGCAACGACAAATGGAGGAGCAAGAGGAGTACATCGCCACCCTGCGAGAGGAGCTCAGCGCAAAGGATGCGCAGTATCGCGTTCTGGCGGCGAGATTGGCTGACCGCTCCAAGCAGGCAGAGTCTCCACCGTCGACGGTGGGCATTCCCACGGTGCGACTGGGGGACCTTGCTGCAGGAAAGGCTGACGCGCTGCAGTTCGATCTGGGCATGTTGGACCAGCTTCCCGAGGGTGTGGACTACACGGCCGAGGAGCGCGAGGAGGTCCAGACCAGAGCCAAGGAACTTCAGCAGAGGCTGGCGGAGACGGCTCGACAGCTATTCGCAGGAGCCATTGCAGACGTCCAAAAGGCGATCGAGGCACATGAATCCCAGAAGGTCAGACTGGCTCAGAGAAAGAAGCGTGTGGACGACGCTCCTGAAGGCGGCCCAGCGGCGGCAGCAGGCGGCGACAGCGCCGCCCCAGCCGCGGCATCGGCGGCCAGTTCGGGATCTCCAGCAGCGGAGCCAGGCCCTCCTCCAGAACAGCAGCAGCAGTTCCAGCATGTACGTGAACGGCCCCAGGCTTTTACCAAAGGCCAGGGCACGAGTGCTGCGTCGGGGGAGGGGGGTGACAACAAGAAGGCCTCAGATTCGGAATAGCATGTCTGACATCTCAGTCCATTCAAATCATGACGCTCCTGCTTACATTGGTTTCGAGTTCTACGCGATTGTACAAAGAGGCAAGGAGGCTCCATACCCTCGGTCTGCGAAAGGAGCAGAGCCGCCAGGTCATCCACACTGGCGAGGGGAGGGGCTCAACTCCAGAGACCTCTTCGGAGGCCCCATGCCCTCAGCCCAGGACGAACACCTGCGGCGGCCAGCATGCCACTGGCGAGGGGAGGGGCAGTGCTCCGATCTCAACGACCAGGGCGCGTGCCCCATACCCTCGGCTCGAACGATTCACGAGCCGCCAGAATACACCAACTGGCGAGGGGAGAGGCTCAGACACGCCAGCGGAGGCCCCACACCCTACCCCTGCAGTGCCTATTCAGGGAGGTGAGGGGAGGGGCGAGACGCAGGGCTCTCAGACTACGGCCCATGCGACTCTGACGACCTCTGACGTGCTCACTGGAAGGCAGACTCCTGAGAACGCTGAGCAGGGCTCCTCAGCGGGAGGAGACGTGCCGCCACTGGCAGACCAGCAGAGCCCAGAGAGCGGAGTCCGCACGGGAACGACATCATCAATTTCACGATTCAACCATGGCATGGATGGCCCTGTCTTGGATTTTTGTTTCAAACAGTTGTCGGATGAGCTGGCAGAGCCTGTCGATAGATCTCCAGTGGCTGGGGAATGCGGAGGATCCACAGCGCAGGAGGCACCAGCAGCTCGAAGTCAGGATGCGTGGGGGTTCGCCGTCCCGCAGTCGGGCGCCGGTGCAGATTCAGGGCAGCTTCGCGCGGCCCAGGGACTTGCCAGCGCTCGGCCCCCCGGGCGCTCTGGCGATGCATGTATAACCTGGCTGCTGACCAGGCGGTGCCGTCGATCACGCATGCTGGACGACGTGCCTCCGCAGTGTCTCAGGCTCAACACCAGACATCGGACACGCGTGCCATATTCTTGGATGCCAACATCACGGAGCGGGGGCGACGGGCGTACCAGCTGGCTCGGCACCGTGCAGAGGCCGACCCAGAGATGAGGCTCGTTGAGACGCACCAGTCGGCAGCTACGAAGGCTCATTGGACGCACGAGCTCCTCAAGAAGGACGGGTTCCAGGTTTCGATCGAGGAGGAATTCCCGTCATAACGATCTGAGCAAGGTGGTTCTGGAGCTGAATGTCTGTTTGCAAGGACTCAGTTTGATACGAAGCCGTTTGACAGACTCATATCCCAGGCTGTCAAGGAGGGCGCACTCACTGGACAGATGTTACAACCCATGCGGTCGTTGGTGGCAGGCTCAGCGTATGGAGTTGGTGTTGGGAAGGTTTTTCTGCATGCAGCGCTGGAAGCTGCTCTGAGTACCAAGATCATCGAGGAGATGACGGAGATGGCGGACTCGTACAGACACACTCTGGAAGAGAAACGCTTGGCAGTTTCGGACAAAACAGTGAGTATAGCGGCTGACTCTGAGCTTTGCCTGGAGGTTGTAGACCTTTTTCAAACCCAAGGGATTCCAACGAAACCTGCCAGAGCAGGCCTTTATTTGGGCATCGGCACCACCGCGGGGAGATTTGGATTTGGGTCCCAGAAGAAGGTCCATCAGAGAAGGTCTAAGTTTAAGTACAGAGTCACCAGATTTTTAAGAATGTGGAGACGGGCGGAGCCGAGGAGGGTTACCCAGGGGGCTTGGCGCACAGGTGCTCGTCCGCAGGCCACCTATGGGCACCAGACCGTAGGCACACCTCCGAGCCACGTCCTGTCCCTGATGCAGTTAGGGAAGGCGAGTGTGGGGATTGGGAGGGGGAAATGTCTCACGACGCCGCTCCAAGCAGTTGTAGGCGTTGGAGAACCAGGAGTCGAGCTCAGTCGACTGATAGCTGACTCTTGGATCAGCTTATGGAAGCAGTTTCCCTCTTTTCAGTCTCGCATTCGCAGATCATGGCATCTTGGCGAGCCTGCAGGTATTTCAGATCACACTGAGATTTTTGACTGGCGGATGACCGCTCCCCACCTTGCTGGCGAAAGCCTCGAGGAAGGAACCGACCTCCATCAGGTTACGGGAGAGCTGAAGCGCTTTGAGCGCGATTGTCAGCTAGACTTGTGGAGTCTCACGCTGTGTGTTGTTGCAGGAGGGCAGTGGCCTCGAGCTCGACAGACAGGGACAGGGCACTCTGTTCCTGCCCTGAACCTTCGCTGCCAGAGCGAAGATGAGCTCGGCTACCATCGAGTGTGGCCCTGCCCTGACAATTGTAATCATGAGGGCTACGGAAAAACACAGATGTTGCCCCCACTGGCGCCGAGCCAGTGGGAAAGCAACCTGTCCTTATGGTTGCGCAGAGTGTCTGGCCGCAACCTCACCACCCCGACCTTCCTCGACCCTCTTGTGGCCCCTCCTCCTATGCACCACGGTGAGGTAGACCTCAGATCTTGTGTGCTCCCAGGGCAGGAGCCTTGGTACGCTTTTGGCGATGGCGCTGGGGACCGACATTCCTCGGATCCAAGGCGTAGGAGATGTGGGCCTACGATAGCTGGTCTCCAGAGGCGCGAAGGGGGCTGGGAATCAGCGGCTGGAGTCTCGGCCTTTCTTGGAAGCCTCCCAACGTTGCCGAGAGCGGAGATAGCTGCGCTTGCCTTGGCGTTAGAAGACACTGCGGGGCCCTTTGCTTGTGCAAGTAGGTACCCGCCAGTCCTTGATGGATGGGGAGTTGACAGACCGCATGGTAAAACAAAGGACCTGACCAGGATTTTTCGCACAGAGTTGCAGTAGCGACGAAGTTGCGAGGAGAGGGCGATGGGCACCTCCGCTGGACAGCCGCGCATCTGGAGGATGGAAGTATTGCCCTCACCTCGGCTCAATTGGTTTTCACCTGTCTTAATTTGTGCACGGACCATTGGGCGGGTGAGGCGGCGGAGCGGGGTTGGGATCATCATTTCCAGCGGCCTATCCCTCACACCGACCAGGCTGATTGTATAACAGTCCTGGTTAGGAAGAGGGCCTGCAGAGCACGCATGGACTCGTTGGCTGCTGACCCCTGGAAAGCCACTAGAGAGCGCAAAGCACGCTCGAAGCCAAGAAAGAAAGCGGAGAGAGTGCTAGCGCCCGCATTGCATAGACTCGAGAAGAGTGGTGGGCAGTGCATCGGTTCGGTTTGCGAGCAGCTTGCACCAGCAGGCCATATTATTTCGTCCGCTGCCTCTCAGTGCCCTGGACCCCGTGAGCGAGTCGGGTTGAGTCGGTCTCGGTCGGTCGTGGAAAGGCAGGTCCGGACAGGCACGAGGGTCAGCCATGTTTCACACACCTGGACGTTTTGGCAAGACTGTAATTTGAGCTTCTGCCGAGCAGGAGGATGCACGGCCACTGCCGATGGTCGATGGTGTTCCCTTCCATGCCACCCCCCCACCTTGAAAGGGGTCGAGAACACTTCGAGGCTTGAGCAAGGGCTTTACCCATCGAGGCGTGTCCCAGCTACAGTTACTGCTGCAGCCACTCGGAGATTGATGGAGACGCCGGGGGAGGAGGCCTATGTGAGAGCGGCAGAGAGCGTGAGTGCCGCCACCCAGCCGCCCCCCCCGACCCCGCCGCCGCCCACATCTCGGAGCCCGACGAGCAGGCACCGCCCCGCTTTGCCTGCCTGGGAAGCGGGCTCGTATGTACGAGGAGGAACGGCCATGTCGTGGCTTCATCTGATATTCCTGATATTCCTCCTCCTCCTCCTCCTCCTCCTCCTCCTCCTCCTCCCTCCTCCCTCCTCCTCCTCCTCCCTCGAGATCTGGATCAATTCCCGCCTCGGACCCCCCCCCGGCCGGGGGACGGCGGCGCGGACGGACAGAGAGGGCGGCGGCGGCGGCCGCGGAGGCCGACGAGGCCACCGCCGCCTTCCAGCCACTCGAAGACCAGCGAGCGCCGGCCGGGGTCGAGCACGGGCGGCGGCGCGCCTCGCGGGGGAGGGGCAGCGTCGAGGGGGGCAGCGTCGAGGGGGGCAGTCGAGGAGGAGGTATTCGAAAATAATACAAGAAAATAGAATGGGGATTGTTTCTGGAGTAGCGTTTGACAATATCCAAAACTAGTCCAGAAATAGTACGGGGATTATGTTTGGAGTGTGTGTTTGTTTAACCATTTGGGGGTATCGTTTTGACTATTCTACATTCTTCGTTCAAAATCGGCCTCTAGGGGGACGGGCCCGACTTCACGTTGGGGTGGCAGTCGGCTCGGGGGGGACCGGAGAATCTCGATGCGGCAAGTCTTCCGGCGTGCTCGTCAGTTCCCGAAGGTGTGCTGCCTCGGGGTGCGCTCTGGCTGGGACGCAGAAGGCCACATACTATAGTAGGACGTGTCCTCTCTGGAAGGGTGCGTCCGACCAGATCGTACCAGAACGGTCGTGTTCGAATAGATCGTGGCCACCTCCAGCGGTATGGCCAGAAAGCGCCCGCCCCGGGCAGATACCATAAGATTGTTGAGCGCACGCGTCGACCCCTTCGGGCCGACGCACACACGGTATAGATATGCCCGCATGGCGCCGACTCGCAGCAGCTTCGCCTCGCCGAAAGCGCTCCGGGGCTGCCAGAATCGTCCTGGATACGGCCGCCGGAGACCCGAGCCATGCTTCGAAAGGCAGACCCGAAGGGGAAGGGCATTAGGCTGGAATCGACGATACAGGCGGGGCGCTGACCTAAGGAACGATAAATAAGGAACGAAGCCCCCTTTTTTCCCAACTAAGTCCATGAAGTCTGAAGGAACGCCAGGGGGGCTCGCCACCAAAAAAGGAACGGAACGCATGCAAACCTAAGGAACGGCCGTGCCTCGTTCGAACAGTAAGTGGACCTGATTCAACGCCACGACTGTGTACATCGCCAAGAGATCGGCGACAGGCCCCCGACGGCGACACCGCACGCTGCTGGGCTACGGGCGGGCTTTCGGACGCCACAGTGTAGGGGGAAGACAGACCTACCTCGCTTTTGACCACCCTCGCTGCCAAGAGATACCAAACGAAGCCAAATTGCAGCCTGTACTGGTCAGGCCGCTTGACGAGGAGGCGCGTGGTATGGCTTGGTTTTGCCTGGAAGCGAAAGCGGGGTATGTAATTCACGCTCTGATAGTGGGCGATCAAAGGGCGATCGGGGGACGCCCCCCGAACCGATCCCGCCCGGTCGTCCTCATCGCCTGGCCTTCGGGTCAAAACTCGGGTCTCCGGCGGCCGATCTGGACGATCCGGGCAGCCCTGGCACGCCCTCGGCCAGGCGCAGCTGCAGGAACGCAGCCCGAGGCAGGGAAACGTACAGGAACGGACGAAACCGCCCGGAAACCCCGGCTCAAAACTGTCTCTCACGAGATAGCCAAACCTGAATCTAGCACGTTCAATTTGCCGAAGCCCGAAAACCCGAAGCGGGATCGGACACCACCGCCTCGGCAAGCAGAGCCGCAACGGCACGGCTGCAGCTTCGATCCGATCGGGGCGAACCACGTCGATCGACTCGAAACACGTCCAGCACAGTTTGCAATACAACAACTGACAATCTCGAACCTGTGATCTGCATGACGTGATATAACTATGTTGCTAGTGGTACGTGTGAGCTCTCGCCGGTCTCGCCAGCTCTTCAGACCGGCCTTGGCAAAAACAACTGCTGCGACACGTACCACTGCCAAAAAAAAACGATACCACACCATACAGATCACAGGTCTGAGATCGTCAATTGTTGTCCTGTACTCCCCCCTGAGTCTGGATGCCCTCCCCCCTGTGAGGGGCAACCATAGGGGGGGACTGGCATAGGGGGGGGGGGATGCACCGACCTGGAATCGGTGATACGTCGCCGATAGATCGGCGACAGGCCCCCGAGCGTGAATCCGAACCTTCCCTGGGCGGGGTGGGGCCATCGGGCCCCTCTCGGCGATCCATCGGCGCTCGGGGGTCGATGCGCCCCCCCTCTCGTTGCCCCCCTCCCTCTCTCGTTGCCCCCCTCCCTGGCGTTGCCCCCCTCCCTGGCGTTGCCCCCCTCTCTCGTTGCCCCCCTCTCGTTGCCCCCCCCTCTCTCGTTCCCGCTGTGCCTGTCCCCCCCTCTCGCTGCCCCCCCTCCCTGGCGTTGCCCCCCCCGGGCCTCGGCTGTCCGGGGCCCCCCCGGGCTCGGGCGCGAGCGCGGCCGCCCGGGGCTGCCTCGCGCCGCGGGCGGCTGCGCCGCCGCCGCGGGCAAGGGTGGCGGCCACCGCCTGCGCTCGGCCGCCCGGGGCGGGCCCTTCGCACCACCGCTTCCAGCAGGCTCGAGGACCGAGGATCGAGGCTCGAGGCTCGAGGCTCCCGAGGTTCGAGGCTCGAGGTTCGAGGAGCGAGGCTCGAGGGCGAAGGTCGAGGATCGAGGCTCGAGGATCGAGGTCCAGGGGTCCAGGCTCGAGGCTCGAGGGCCGAGGGCCGAGGGTCGAGGGCCGAGGGTCGGGGGCAGGGGATATGTCGACCCCCACCCCCGACTTCGGGGGCTTTTCAAGTGGACCACGAGTTTGGGGCCCCACTCGGGGATGTTAGAGGAAAAAGAATTATGCACATGCACCGATTCTGGCCAGGCCCATCCTGAGCCCAGGATCGGTGCATACGCCCTCCTACCTTGGCCAGGAAGGCATATGCACCGATCCTGGGTCAAAGATGGGCCTTGCCAGGATCGGTGCATGTGCATAGTTCTCTTCGCCCGAGATGTACAGTGGGGGGCGTCCGAAGAGCCCCCTCTGGGGGTGTATCCCCGATTTCCCCTCCGTTTCTCAGCGGGTTGCTTGTTCGTGGGGAAGTCGGGGGTGGGGGGCGGAAAGTCGACTGCGAACTTCTGTGGCAACTCATGGGAGCCTCCCATGTCATCTTGCTGGCTCCTGCGAGTCGACGCTCGCCGACGCGAATCGGCGCTAAATCGAAGCTGCATCGACGATAATCGACGCTAAACCTGCGCTTTCCCATCGCTTACCAGACGCTAGCCCACGCGAATGCACTCTGGAAGCGGAACTCCGAGGACGCGCCAAGCTCCCATGATTTGTTGCCGACCACCACCACCACCGCAGATCTCCGACGGCATGATCTTGTCAATCAGCGGTTTCCCCTCGAATTCAGCATCGGGGAGGCGGGGGGGAGCCGTTTTCGTGCCCCGTGACGATGAACGGTGGATCGCAAGGGAGGGAAGGACTGCCCTCTGGGGAAGCGGTTTGGGCCTCTGGGGCCGCGGATGGAAGAACGCAGATCGGCGGACGGCATCGGAGGCCCGAGTGGCTGGGTCCATGTGGTTGATCCAAAGAGGACCCGAGAAAACCATGCGGGCCCTGCCACTGGAGCCTTCGGTGGCGTGTGAGCGGTGTGCCAAAATAGGCCCAGGTACGCATTCGGACTCTGCCACTGAGGCCTTCCGTGGAGCACCCCATGGGACCACGAAACGTGCGTGGTGTGTGTGTGTGCCGAAAACTGACGATGATGATGCTGATGATGCTGCTGCTGATGATGGTGGTGATGATGATGGTGATGATGATGATGACGACGACGACGACGACGACGATGATGAAGATGATGATGATGATGATGATGATGATGATGATGATGATGATGATGAGGATGATGATGATGATGCTGACGATGATGATGACGATGACGACGACGATGATAATGGCAAGGAGGAGGAGGAGGAGGAGGAGGAGGAGGAGGAGGAGGAGGAGGTTGGACGTGGCGCTGCGAATTGAAAACGAGGACCCAACACACAGGCGGGTTGGGACAAAAAAGAAAGAGCAGGGACACCCATGAGATATCAAGATCGGCATTGTAAGAGACACTGCAACTGCACAAAGGCCCTTTGTGGCAAGACGCCTCCGCGTAGGGCGCAAAACCACAGAAGGCTCGCACAAGCCGTCGGAAAGTATCGCCGCCGAATCGCGCGGCCACAAAATTAGAAGATCAAGTGGAGGAGAGTAGAGACTGAAATGTGCTAACTCAGAGGTGCACTGCGAAACCTTCTGGCGAGGAACATGCGAGCTCGGTTTGGACAACTTCCATGGGGCGACCACCATCAGTTACCCCACTGCACTTCGCCTCTGTATAGTTGTTCCCTCCAGCGAAACGCTAGATGAAACGTGGCGCACAAAGAAATGGTTGCCTTTACACACTTGCGAAGCCAACTACGGGAGAGTCCGGCGCCGATCCCGAACGACGATACACCCAAAGACCGCCCGCTGCTTCCGTGCGGTGGACGGCCACGTGGTCCGAAAAACGTGCCAGCACCCTGTGTCTGCACCTCCCATGAGCGGCGCCGCCCTCCGCCGCACGATCCGACGAGGACGGCGGCACGAGGAGGGACAGCGCGACAGAGGGACCATAGACTTGTGGGCGCTGCGCGCGGGTTTCTGGGATCTGCGCTGGACCCCCCTCCCTGGCGCGCGGAGCGCGCCAGGGGCGGCGCCGGAGGCGCCGCCGGGGCGGGCCCATTGCGCAGATCCACGAAATCCGCGCGGAGCGCCAAAAGTTCATGCTTGTGGCGCTTCCACTCCCGCGAGACCGGGAGCCCAGGAGACCTGGGGGCGCCCTGGGCCAGGGGGCACCTCCGGCAGCACCCGGGGGGGCCCCCCTCCGCCCGCCGCGCGGGAGGGCGCGGGTGGCCCCCCGCCGCCGCCACGGCCGCCCCGCTCCACCTTCGAGCTCGGCGCGCGCGGCGCCGCCCGCTTGGCCGCGGGGCCCTCCTGGCCGCGGCGCGCCCCCGCGCCTCCGCGGGCGCGCGCCCCTCCGCCTCGCGCGGCCGGGCCGCCCGCCGCCTTCCGACGCTGCCGGCGACGGCGGCGGGCGCCTCCGCGTCGCCCGCGCCCGCGCCTCCGCGAGCAGCCCGCAGGCGCAGGGCGCGACAATCACGGGGTGCCGCGCCGTCGCGGGCAGCTCGCACCGTGGTAACACTCTAACCCATACACTGCGGTTTGGGAATCATAGCCCATGTTTGTCCTTGCACCTCATCGTGTGGCAATCACGAACACAGCTTCCTTTCGCAATTGCGAGCACGCGTGCCCAGGAGGGCAGAAATGTGGCCAAGAAATCGGTGGCAAGGGTCGAGCCACTACGTGTGGATGCCAATGTGACTTTCTTGGCATCACAGACAACTTTCGTCCTCGCGCTGCATCGTCTGGCAATTGCAAAACCGTATGTTTTCGCATTCGCAGGGCGCTCAGGCGCCCAGACGCCTATGCAGAGCGCTCAAGCGCTCAGAAGCCTCTGCCTCTGCAGAGCGCCCAGTCGCTCAGAAGTCTCTGCAAAGCGCTCAGGCGCTCATACGCCTCTGCAGAACGCTCAGGCGCTCAGAAGATACTGCAGAACGCTCAGGCGCTCAGATGCCTCTGCAAAGCGCTCAGGCGCTCAGAAGCCTCTGCAAAGCGCTCAAGCGCTCAGATGCCTCTGCAGAAAAGCGTTCAGAAAGCTTCAGAAGCCCCTGCAGAGCGCGCGCGCGCGCGCTTCTGAAGGCTGGTTGTAAAGTGGCCGCTCTAGTTGTAAAGAGCCCCGTCTCGGGTGTAAAGTGGTCGTTCTGGTTGTAAAGTGGGCTGTGCTGGTTGTAAAGTGGTCGCTCTCAAAGGAAAACCAGGGAAGTCGATCCTTTGCTAGCTGTAAAGCAGCCTTTCTCGGTTGTAAAGTGTTGTTCGGGTTGTAAAGAGACCGAATCCCGTGGGAAAACGGGCCCGGGCACTCTTCGGGCCCTACAGGCCCCCACTGTAGACCCCCAAGGGGCCCTTTTAGGGGCCCTGAAAGGGCTCCTTTTCTGCAGCCCTCGCTGCCGCCCCCCTGATCGTCGCCCCATTACGGGGCGAATCGACCAGGGGAGAGCAGTACATGCACAGTCGGACCTGGGTCAGAAGAACACCCCTCAAGAACATGAGACCCTCGGTCGGCCAACACAAACAAAACATCTAAGGGCACCCTCCCCGGGATGCACCAAAACTCGGGGATGGACAGACCTCCCTTGAGCAACACGTGGTTCAGTGAAAACGGCCTGAGGCCCAAACCTGGCGGGCGCGAGCCTGGCAAATCACGGCCGCGGCGCCCTCTCGAGAGCCGAAAGCGGACAACTCACGAATCGACGTGTCACTGTTGGGGGTTCTGTCCAGCCCCGAAAAACATCCCACGAGCGCGAGGAACACCAGGTCGCCCTCCCCGAGCCGACCTCGACCTCGCACCTCGGCCCGACGGCACCCCGAGTCGCCGAGGGCCCTTGCCCTCGGCGAGGCCCCCCGGCGAACTGCGTGCTGCGGGCCCGCCTCGGCGCCAAGCGGGCGCCCGGCGGGCGGGCGGCCTCGCCCTCCCCCCCCTCCCCCCCCCCCCCCCCCTCCCCGCGCGCCCCCTCGTCGTCGTGCCCCCTCTCTGCCACAGGGCTCCTCCGCGCAAGTAAAAACAACAACAAAAAAAACAACAACAGCAACAACAACAACAACAACAACAACAACAACAACAACACCAACAACAACACCAACACCACCAACAACAACACCAACAACACCAACAACAACAACAACAACAACAACAACAACAACAATTACTAGCACGTGGGGACACACCGTTCTCACCAGTGCCAAGGTTTTCATAGGAGGCGGGCAATACCCCCACTTTGTGGGGGGGCCGGTTCAAGCTCTACCAAATTTCCAAACGACTCTTCGCCACCACCCACACCCAGCTTCCCGCCCTATGACGCTCGGACACTTTACTTCGTGGCATGCGGACGACCGTGGCTACTATTCAGGGCCCCGCGGCCGACGACGACGGCGTGCGCGCGCGAAGAAAAAACGAATGTGTCCCGCATGGTATTATTTGACAGGGATGATGGCCCTGGCAGGTGCGCAACCGTTGTTGCAGAAGTTCGAAAAAGTTGCTCGCAAAAGCCCGTTTGACAGAAATGTTTAAAAAGTGTTGGGTTTCCTACGAATCCGCAAGAGCGCGCGGGATGAACATTTGAAAAACCATTGGTTTTGATGTGTTTATGTTTAAAATCGCTACGAAACTAAGGTTTTGGAAGGATTTCGTCTTGCGCGCGCGAATGTCCACTTTACCTTATTTTTTGCAAGGGATTCTTGAAGTTTGGTTATGTTAGAACAAGAAATGTCCACTTTAGCTTATTTTTTGCAAGGGAAAACCGATCGTAACAACACAACCGGATCCGGACCAACCCGTTTTGCCTGAGACTTCCTCACGAAAATGATGAAAATGAGGCTGCGGCCTAGGCGCGGCGGGGGGGTCGTGCACCAGGGGCCCCAACAATAATTATTCTTTAGAAGTAATAATGTTCAACAACAACAACAACAACAACAACAACAACAACAACAACAACAACAATCATTTTACCCGAACGCGTGGTGTTCTCCCCAGTGCCAGGGTTTTCATACGACACCAGGCAATACCCCCACTTCGTGGGGGGGCATTACAAGCTCTACCAAATATCCAAACGACTCTTCGCGACCACCCAAACCCAGCTTCCCGCCCTATGACGTTGGGACACTTCACTTCGTGGCGTGCGGACGACCGTGGCTACTACACTGGCGTGGGGTACACACCCACAGAACTTGGTCACTTATTCGGGGCGCGCATGTGCCCAGCATGGTGCAATTGTGCCATACAATACATAATACAGAGAGACAGAGAGAGAGACAGAGAGCAGACAGAGAGAGAGACAGAGAGAGCGGAGTTGGTCACATTTTTGGGTCAAGTTCCTGGGATGATGGGAATACACAACTCTGTTACATTTGATAGTGTGCACGACACACATGAGATGATACGTACACAGCGCGCGCGGGTGGAAATTTTGAAAAGTCGTGCAGCTGTTTTTCGAGGACCTACGGTGCGATTCGTGTGATTTTATGATGCGCGGTGGTAAAATTCTTAAGAACCCAATGGTTTTTGGAGATTTCGGCGTGCGCGCGCGAAGAAAAAACGAATCTGTCCCGCATGGTATTATTTGACAGGGATGATGGCCCTGGCAGGTGCGCAACCGTTGTCGCAGAAGTTCGAAAAAGTTGCTCGCAAAAGCCCGTTTGACAGAAATGTTTAAAAAGTGTTGGGTTTCCTACGAATCCGCAAGAGCGCGCGGGATGAGATTTTGACATTTTTTTGTTGAAAAACCATTGGTTTTTTGATGTTTTTATGTTGAAATCGCTCCGAACACTAAGCTTTTGGAAGGATTTCGTCTTGCGCGCGCGAATGTCCACTTTACCTTATTTTTTGCAAGGGATTCTTGAAATTTGATTATATTAGAACAAGAAATGTCATTTTATAGTGTTTTTTGCAAGGGAAAGCGGGGGGGAACAAAACAACCGGATCTTGATCACATCGAATTACCTGAGGCTTCCTCACGAAAATGATGAAAATGTAGCTGCGGCCTAGGCGGCGCAGGGGGGCCGTGCACCAGGGGTCCCAACAATAATTATTCTTTAGAATTAATAATGTTCAACAACAACAACAACAAAACGAAAACACAAAACGTAGCTCATGCCCTCCCCTGGCCCAAGCCCTGGGCTATTCGCCCCCCTCGTCGCCTCCCGATAGGACGGGCTTCTCGCCCCGGGGTCGACTCACGACGGCCCCGGGGCCTGGCGCCCCGCGAGGGCCTCCGGGAGCAGAACGGACCTCCCAAACAGAACCTCGGCGCGCGCCGCCGCCCGACGGCCCACGATAGGCAGGGCCGAGCGACAGTCGACGACACGCCAGAGGGACCCTGGGCAGGAGTGACCTCTGGTGCGCGGCTCCCATCGCACTCGAGGGCTACCTCCCAGAAATGATCTCGAGCGCCCAGAAGAGTATGACCTTTGGTGCGCGGCTTTCTCGGGGTCGCGGGGGGGACCAGACACGCGCGCCCAAGACGCTGCTGCCGCATCGGCGATCGGGGGGATCCCATTGGGCCCGCACCGAAGCAGGGACCGAGCGTCCCGGCATTCCTGTAGTCCTACCACGAATTTTTCTTAGAACCCAAAAATGTTTTAAGAGCAAAAACGATGTTCTTGGAAGAACATAAGCCCGATGTGATAAAACAAGACAGACTCCGCCAGAAATGTTCTCAGAACATTTCGTGGAGACCACAAAAGGTTCTTAGAACATTCCTTGGTAGGGCTATGGGCGAGCCAGGACGCTTCGCCACTGCTTGAACCAAAAGTCACTCCGGCGAAAGGTCGCTCTCACGCGTAGCCGCGGCGGGCGCCGCCGACAGCAGCGCCAGCAGCCCGGCGAGCACGCCCGCGAAGTCGCAGGAGCCGCCGGCGCCGCAGCCGTCGGGCGCCGGGAGGGCGCGGCGCGGCCGTGGGGCCCTCTCGCGCCTCTGCGGGTCCCGACGCCGACGTCGGCGACGACGACGACGACGACGACGACGACGACGACGGGCACGAGCACGAGCACGATCACGGTCCCGATCACGATCACAATCACGATCACGACCACGACGCCTTCGGTTCGGAGGCTTCTGGGCGCTCCTGGGGGTTGTTCCCGCCACCACGCCTGGACGCACATCGAAACACTGGCCAGTATGGTTAGGTCGGGCGTCCTCCTACAGGGGGATTTTAAACGAAAAATGATAGTTATAAAATGCTCAAGGATATTCAACAAGAGTCCAAAAATCGTCCCCTGACTATTGTTGGACTAGTTTTAAATATTCCTCCTGTAGAGGGACACGCCCTTCCACACAATCTGAACCGCAGGAAGGATCCATGGATGGATTTCCAAAGACGACCCAGATCACCCACGAGATGTTTTTTCCAATCTGCAGTCTGTTCCTCGATCTCGGCCTCTCAAGGGCCCACTGCCGGAGCCACAGCGGGTCATCCGAAGCGGGGCCGCAGTGGAAAAAAGGACTCCCTGGAGGGGTTCGGCACCTCTGGGGCCACGCGCTGAAGAACATCTCGGGAGATGTCCGA